GGCGTGGTCTGCGCAGTACAGCAACCACGAGGTAGCTTCAACTTATGGTGATATTATTAAGTTTTACTAGATTTCGAATATACGGCAATAGCAAAAGGTACATTTGGTCCGGATGGGTTTAATAACTGCAGCATGAAGACGACGAGGCCTTCGAATGTAACTGTCGCGGCAGCTCGTTATTTGCCGTATTTTACCTTCACTGCATTAGGAGACATTAAGAATAACGAAGGTCGTCGTGAAAACTAAGCCCATAGGTCGAATCTACCCACCGTGTTTTTGGCAAGCTCCCAAGCAATGTAGAAGTTAGCTACTGAATGAGGCAGAAGTGTATCCCCTACAGAATCGGGTAGGAATATTCTGGAACAAGCTGGCAGCTGAACGAGAGGTGCAAACGTCCGACGTAGCCAAAGCAGATGTCCGAGTAACTGCGTCAGCCTGAAAGTTGATTGATCGTTTTGGATAGCTGTAATCGACCAAGGGGTGTAATCTCTCCAGCATTGTTCGCGGTTGCGTCCTCTGACCGGCTTTAGTTAATTATGTGCTAGATTGGGTTCTGCCCGGAGGAGCGAAGACCCGAGTTCCAGGAGGCGCTCGCGAAGGAGACACGTTCACTGGGACAAGAACATTATTCGCCTGACGTCTCGGACCCTTACTCGAATGCAGCGTCAGAAAAAAACCAGATAAGGGTAGTTGGTTGCCCAAGTGTTGCAGCCATTCCCTCTAAGATCCTTCGACGCTACTTTAATTCAGTAACCGTGTTTCCCGATTCACTGCGCTATGCTAACGTGTAGAGACACACTGTTATGAACCCGAAGCCAAGGGGTTTGGAATTACAATAGCTTCGATGGACGCTTAGAGAGAATGGCTATCCGCTCAATTTTGTCCACTAGTGCGTGCGCAAACGAGATGAGAAACTTAGTTCAACCTGCCGCAAATTGTGATGCACGTAAAAATATGTTTGAAATTGTTAGCCACCTCACACTCCTTTGGGTTGGACTTGCACACAGACCGGAGGCAACCTTAAGACGGCATGTCATGAAGCCGAACGAAGCATTGTCACGACAGGAAATGTCCGTAGTCCTTTGCCTGGTCTTGTACAACTGTGGATAAAGTAACAATGTCGCAGAAACTAAAAGACTACTCTCGATGCGGAGGGCTGGGGAGGAACGACGCCAGCTCCCAAGTCGCGGCTAATTCAAAGGGAGTCGTTGTACGCGAGCTAAACCCAGAGGTTTGAAAAGTATATCGTAAAAGCTTAACGAAGGGCTACAAACTCGTCTAGCAAACTTAGAACAATTATACGCAGAAAGACATTGCCGGTTAACATAAAGCGGTCTGGAATGGTCAGTTCTGACTTATTAACCGCCATCAGCCAACCGTACCCAGTCCCAGGCGGTCATTCCGGTCTCCCCTCTCTTTGCCGGCAATACCATCTGCCTAAATCACTAATTCCTGTGCAGCTGTTAACGGGGCTCGAGGTTGAGCCCCAAAGGCGCAATGGGACAAGTTAATTCTGCAACCGATCGGTGAGCGTTCATCAAGCAGACTTAGAACTCTCTCTATCTTGAGCTGCAGGCAAAGGCACAAAGCCCTTTTAGAAGCGCGCTGCATTAGAAACGGATTTTTTGCAAGCTGCCCTTGGCCACAGATTCGAATTCGCTACCACAAACTAACTTTTAGGTCCCATGAACAAGGCTAGATGTGCGAAAATGCCCCATTCCCAACCTGAATTAGGAAACCACGGGATGTTCTGTCTGTAAAAGCTGTTAGGTCTGTATTAGAATAGCACTGAGTGGTTTACATCGCAATATAAACCTCGCTGAAGACAAACCAAGTTCTTGTCTCCAGATGCATATTTGTACACACCAAAGGTAAATGCAGTCCATACTCCGTGGTTCGTCGCGAGAAGCGCTGTCATGGTTTTCAACTACAGGCCCAATAACCCAGATCTGGGCAAACATAGAAATTGTAGGTAGATTAACCAGAAGAATACAACAACCTTGAAACTATCGTTTATGAGGAAAAAATCTGAGTATTGCTTAAGATTTACTTTACGGATGCTCTTTGGAAAGTATAAACGATTCTGGGATGCGATCGCGGGAACAGGAAGCTTATTTGCCCGATGTCTCACTCGATACCATCACCTTCGACTCCTGATAGTGGGTTCGCGTG